TTCGTACCTTCGCCGGGTGGGCTGACGTCTGGACCATGCCCGTAACCCCAAATTATACTGCATGTAAAATATATATAACCTATCCGAGTATTACGTCTTCGTCTTCAAGGTAGTCTTGGGGCACTACATACCAACCTCTAGAATGATCATTGGTACATGCAGCCGGCGGAAAAGCGGTCACGAGCACGTGTCAATTGGCTTGCGTTTGATACGCATTATCATGGCCAAGTAGGGGAACTGACGAATTTACCTGCATTCCGATTCGTCTTTTTTTTCCTCGTAATTAGTTCAATTGCTAGGGCATAATGTTAATGGACGTCCCACCTGAGGCCGCAGATGTAGCCGCCACTGTAGATTACGAGAATGTACCTATTTTGAAGGAGGTTTTTCAGCACTGTATTTATCACAAGGATGGTCGCCTTCAAGATGATACAGAAGGCAAGAAACTTCGTACCTATGATATTCTGTGATTTCTCCGATTTGCTCGTAGCACGCTCCTTGATCTCCCAGTAATATCTATTACCTCGAAACGGAGTTTTCTAGAGGGTTGTTGTCAGACACCTCAGGAGATTATGAAGGGTAAGACAGCTGATGAGGTTCGTAAGACCGAACTCCACTCTTCAGAAGGAATAGGCAACTTAGAAAAGGTTATTTACGGTGCTGACAGGTGTATTCATTTGAATTCCTTCCCAAAAATGGCACGTTCTTCCGCTTATATTTAAGAATGGGAAGATTTTTGCAGCGTTTTACCCATCGAGTGGGATCCAAATGCACTAGCCATAACCCCTAGGCTATGCTTAAAGATTCATGGAATCTGAACAACGAGAGTGTAGAGTTCGGTTTCTAGTACAAAGGCTTTTCGTGCTGGGCCGCATTGTCCAAGAATTCCTTACTTCTTTTGAATGTTCATTTATCTGAAAATCTAACCGGGACCAAAATCAGTCATACCAAATAGCTGTCATCACCCAGATCTGTTTCAAATAGTAGCGGATGGCTGACACCACAGTCACCTTGACACATTACGCAGACCAGCTGGTTTAACTTCTTGGACACATACTCACCTGGCTTCATGACCCGAGTAACTTTGTGGATGGAAGATAGAATCGCCAAGTCATGGCAACTCAAACGCCACTTAGAAATGACGATGGATATTAGTATGTAGCAATTTCAACCTATTCTACTACTTCAATAAAAGCATTGATAAACCATCGATGGTGAAACCACCCACGATTCAGTAGCTTATGTATACTAAATGTGGAAAATAGCTATTAAGTCCACTCTAACCAATCATTAACGCAATTTGCGATCATTTGGCAAAGTGACCAATGTTCTTTAAAGAACTTAACATTCAAGCGATACGCTGAACGCAAATGAATACTCGTCCCAACGTGTTCCCATCTTATAAAGTGCAGATCCAATGCATCCTCCAACCTTTTAAAATAAGCATGAGATCCGGAAATCTGCTAAAAAACTGAACATTTCACGACTTCAATTCTTAGGTGTATCTAAACGACAAAACCCACTACAAAAGGGGTTTGCCATAATCTAGCATTCTAGGTTTCCCAATAGTGATAACTGTTTCAAATGTATGGATGGGAAGCATCGAGGAGGAATAATGCATAATGTTTAAGAGTACCACGTGGATCTCTCGCTTTGGCTTTGAGCAGGCGCGCAGTTTATGGGCCGATCGAGTGATCTGCCATGCTCGCTAGGGGGCGGGAAAACCTCCATAAAAATGCTAATTTAACCGATTGAGCACTTCAGGAAGCTGGTTTGGGATTATCACAGAATAGAGAATGCAAGGAAGTTAACACCCCTATTTACGATACGAAGTTTACCAGATATTGAGGCTTCAGCAGATACCAAAACACTCATACAGCCGAGGGAAAAGTTAAGAAGAATCACTATGATATAATGTGTCACTAAAAATTGACACTAACTATATACAATTAAAGATGCTGTTTCCCAGGCACCACCTGTACGTGTAGAGAACCACACTATTGAAAGGGTGCATAAACTTTAACATGTACTCGAATCACAAGGAGGACTGACAAGAATAAGAAATAGCAAAATCCCAAGTTTGTGGCAGTCAACATGATCACTTGTGAGTGGCGAAACACAAAGAGCATTTCGGATGTGCGACTCGACCGCATGAGCAAACTTAACAGACTAATTCAATGTACGGACACCAATTAAAGTGTGCGCAGAATAATGCACACTGAGTTTTTGAGCATATGAGCAACAGTACACCGACCTTAAATAAAATACGTAAGGAACATAAAAGGAGAGGTTAAAGCAAAGTTGTTAAAATACAATTCGCTCACTAGAATCAAGAGTGGAGATCACGGCATTTACGTCCACTGGACAATCAGCTGGTCCTGATAAATGAATAGTGTAATGTCACTTTTTTAAAGGTACGAAGGAGGACTATGGTTAGCAGTGTTCTGTTAATTTAACGCATGCACCCATCGATCGCGCACCGGTCAGTAAATCCACAGGCGGAAATCATGCGTTCTTGATTCAAGCGTTGAACAAACGGATTAAACAAACAAATAAATTGAAATTGGAAATATGTGATTAAGCCCTTTTCCCTACAGGCCACATTTTGGACGAAAGAAAGTGAGTGTTTTGGCTCCTGAGCCATAAATTAAGGTCAATGATCGCTTAACACTTGTTTCGTAGTTATTGTTACGAAATCAAGTGGTGCTTGGCAAAAAAAATTCACACGTTGGTGCACTAGTCAAGAGCCAAAAGAAAAATAGACGTAATTTAAATAAAGCTCTATTCTGGTTGAAATTTTACAATTTTAACGAATACAGTACCACCCACGAAGTGGTTGGTGCAGAGCCGCAGTCGAGCGCCTTGGTAGTGGGTGTACTTTAAGTGTGCTGTTGCGGTTATTGGATTATTTCGCTGTTAAAAGTTCAGTTAGTGCTTTGCCTTGATTGTTATTCCCATTTATATTCCTTATTGAGCAATTTGACTTGTGCATCTCAGGTCCAGTAGCAGTGTGCCGGAAAAGCACGCTGCCACATCATCTCTGAATGCACCTTTCCTCTAGGAGACTTCTAATGTTAACGACAATCTATGTACTCCCAATTTTATCATATGAAAATGCAGTAGATACTTGTTCTCTGCCTTAAAATTCAACTGAGCTATATGGAATTTGGTAAATTTCTGGAGGAATGCATTTCCGCACATTGGAATAATACATTTTGGATAGCACTCACCAGATTCACTTGAGAAGGTCCCACACTTGATAATAACCCCACCCGGCCCTTTATAGTCCATTGGTTTGATTCTTAGTGTTTGCGCACCCCTTCAACTTTAGGATAAGTTCCTTGTTGGCAAAACCCTCTTCAAAGCTACACAAAGTGGAGGGAGTGGTGCACTTACTCCTGTCGCCTTCAGGGGCAAGGCCATCTGCATTCCACCCGACCCGGTTGTGAAGGAACGCGTTTACTTAGACTTTTTCGGGCAGTTGCATCAAGAGCACGCAAGTCCTGAGTGTCGAGTAGCACAAGGATATCTGGTGGGTGCAGACAGTAGTAGCGGCGTCTGTACCTACCTTGTGAAGGTCACTGCTGTACGCGGTAAGTTCGGGCGCAGGTACGGCTTCTCCCACCGCGAAGTGCAGTACCTCTATCCCGAAGAGGCCTTCTACCTTTCCGAATGTGGCCGTCTGCAGGTCTACGATGGTGGCCTCTCTCTCAGCCTGCAACAACTTTGTAACGCCGTCTTTCGCAGTGCCTTCGAGTTCTCATGCTACACCGCCTACGCGTGGCTTGCCCGCCAGGGTTTCGTGCTTCGACGGCGTGAAGCAACCGATACTGTAGCCACCAATCCTTTTGCAAAGGAAGTGGAGCCGGAGTTCATTAATGTGTTGATGAACCCTTCCCCCATGGGTGATGCTTCAAAAGAGGCGGAGAGGCAGTACGATGACGACACTGATGCAGACTTCCTAATGGCCTCACCTTCTAACCTCACTCCAGTTGGAGAAACGGGTTTGAATGAGTGGGTCTTGCATGACCGTTCACCTTGTTCTGGGGGTAATAAGGCGAGCGCAGATACTACTAGTGCTCCCGCGGTTGTGTTCAATGTTTTTAGTGATCGAACTGTAAAATTTACGAAAGGCAGACCCACCGAACCGGATTTTGTGTTTGTTGTAGTGTCACTGGAAGATGGGGTACGTTTCCTGCCCAACAGACAATTTCGGAGAAGCTTTGGGCTTTCACCGGGAACCAAAACTATACTAGCCAAAGTTGATAACGGTGATGTATACTTGCAGTGTGCACATCCGTTTTCCATACCAACAATAAACCAGATTTGAGTCAACTGTTGCTCCTAGTTCTGCAATAGGTGGTAGTCCTATTCCTAGTGCGTCCCAAAAATCTAATGACGTTTACACATCGCAGAAGTAAACAAGCCAGGGCTAGTAGTGCTGTAATGCAACGGATGCCCCACATCATAGAGGCAAAGATAGGTTGGGTAATGACAAGGACTCGACTGTCCCATCGACAGAGGATCCCGGGAGAGCTGTCAAGAGGAGGGTTTGTTAGGGGGCTCGGGGAGGCACCAACGTCTCCAGGCCATCCTCACACGATCCCAGAGAGCGGAGAACGAATCTAGTGCAGGTCGCACGTCCAACAGAGCGAATTTGAAGTCAGGATCTACCTTCTCTGAGTCATAGTAGTCGATGATATAGCGTACATCACAACCGCAGCGATCTACTACCCAGTCGTGCCGATCGAAGGGCAATTCATGGCCCATCCAATGTCTAATGCGCGCCCGAGGAGAGTAGTTATTGGCATCACCGGCGAACCGCCGCAGTCGAGGTGTTCGGCACTTGTGGTAGTGCAACTCCTCCCATTTGAGTACCTCTGCCCACGCAGCCTCGTTGTTGGCGTTGTGGATGCGCACAATATTGTTCAAGTCCTCCGGACCGATCTCGTCGTCGCGCCAGCGCCAGCCCTTCCGCAACATTGCATTCCAGAACATCTGAGCTGAGGGGTAGACCCAGTTTGTTTCCTCGCCCTCTTTCACTTCCGCTTTCGGAATGCTGGAGACCACTCGCGTGGTTGAGAGCGGAAACGGTTGACCGGGACTGGGATCCTGGTTTTCCTTTGGCATCTGCATGGAATACCCCATCGCAATTATGCAAGGATGCGCCGCGCCGAATCAGGCGTAAAAATCACAGCTATACCATGTTGAGCAAGTTTAAAGTATCATCTGATTCACTAGCTACCGTACACGCAGTTGGATCGGACGGGTCTTCAGGACGCCTTTTGTAAGGACAGCCACTAGAGCCAGCCATTGTAGCGGGGCTAAAATGTGGAAGATACCAAAAGCATGCCGGACCACTTTGGGTAAATCATCATTAGTAAAGATAAGATACAAAGGCGATTCAATAAGTAAGACGGCACACCAGGATGTGGCCATAAACTTAAGTTATGAAACGGTGGATGTAGATCAGAACAAAGTGGCACTGCGCAGAGGATGTGTCAGAAGAAGCGTCCCTCATTTAGGGATGGAGTCAATATTTTAATTAGGAAGTATCGCGTGACCTACGGGAAGGTTGAACGATGGCACCAAAAAGGCTAGTATTGGCACAAATATCCCCAAGGCTCTGACCTTCACCAGCAAACTCCTTAAATTTAAGCAAAGCTTATGAATTATCATCCCTGAGAAGCCGCGATAATTCGCAAGACTGAAATCTGACAGAAGTTGATTTAAAAATGTCACCGTAAGTAGGACACCTAACCTCTCTGCATTGTTTGATAACAAGGAATCATATGAGATAAACAAGTAGCAGCATACAGCATTCACAAACTTGGTAACTAATGTTTTGGACCTGTGTTGTAAAATTTGAACTCACTAGTTGTTTGTAAGATAGCGAAACAGGAAAAGCGCTGCAGCCACAAGATAATCACACAAACATTTTATTCCATCAACCGATTTTAAGCACACGTCGCCAAGATGGCACAAGAAGGGATTATCTCCCAGAGCGAAATTATTGCTTCTCGTTTTTCACCGTGAGTCTTTATACGAGTGCACCTTGGCCTTAGCAAAAATAGATGCGGCATATCAGAATTTATTTGATGAAGAGTAAGGACATAATGTCAAGGGATAGCATGTTCCGTTGACGCACAGATGGGGTTAGTGTAGCGTCCCGAGACTCTCTGAAGACGAAAGAAGACACAATACTCGGGCAGAATATATGTATATTCAGCACGGAGAAGGTGTCTGGGCTGTTGGCATGGCCCAAAAGGCCAGCCCACCCAGCGAGGCACAAGGGGGCTAATTCAAAGCACAAGTGTGGCGCCTCACTAGAACCGAGGGAGAAACCACTATCATACTACAGTTAGACTAAGTGCATTGGCTGCTTCTGTAGGTACCCACAACCAAATTGAAAAGTTTGGCAATCTACAAATTTATCTTGCATGCTCAGAAATACATTCAAAATTTGTCAAAATTTGTCCTTTGTTCAAAAGTAAAGAATATTAGCAATCTGCCTTTGGCACTTAAATATTTTTTCAACCACTAGATTTTTTATATTTATTAAAAATTTCAGATGGTGAATCACTGACAATATATGCTCATAAACCTTGTAAGCCCTTTCGCAATTACACTGAAATATTTCCATTTCTGATAGGTGGATTGCTTATAGGGTTTCATTCGTAACACCAAAAGTTTTACCAATAATTACACATATTATTGTAAATGCTTCGCGAATGCACCCACTGTTTGTGATTTATTTTTAGTTATAATCGGTATAACCTAGGTTTTGCGCCTTCACTTGTTTCTTTCTTGGCACTCTGTTTTAATTGCAACTGTCCCAAATCGGCCATGTTTGTGTTTTACAGAATTGTCGTTGAACCCGCATTTGTTGTATTTTCTTCGAAGATGCCAGTTAAGCTGGTGACGTCCGACGAGGTTGCATTTGATGTGGATCTAGAGATCGCTAGACAGTCTGTGATGATTAGAGATATCTTGGATGGTGCGTATTCTCATCTGCTATGTTTGTCGTCTATGTTCCGCAATGCGTATTTCATATTTTGCATTCGTTTAATGTTAAACTTTTTTGTTCTACTCTAGTTGCTTGCTTTATCTTCCTTGTTTTTTTGCCTATTGCTAGCTTTGCTGAAATTCTCGTAATATCTTAGTGAGAATATGCCTTGGATGAATTTTGCGTTCCTGTGACCCCCGATTTCCTCCACGGTGCTTTCGTTGGAATATTCTATAGAGATTTCATCATAAACTGGAATAAATTGCCTTTTATTTGTACATTTTCCTGGTTGAATTTCGTTGATAGACGTTGGACCTGAGGTTGCAGAAGACGATGAACCGATCCCTCTGCAATACGTGAATGCTGCAATTTTTAAGAAGGTTCTTCAGTGGTGTACGTATCACAAAGACGACGTTCCCCAGCAGGATGACGATGAAAATAAGGAGCGTCGAACGGACGACATATCTAGCTGGGACCAAGAGTTTCTTCGAGTCGATCAGGGAACTCTGTTTGAACTCATTCTAGCAGCTAACTATCTCGACATCAAGGGTCTTCTTGATACGTGCTGCAAGTCTGTTGCAAACATGATCAAGGGTAAGACACCGGAAGAGATCCGCAAGACTTTCAATATCAAATCGGATTTCACCCCTCAAGAGGAAGAGCAGGTAACCTGTACGGATTGATGTTTAGTTTCGGTCGTCGTCTCAGCAAATTCTTTTGTGTGAACTTCATGAAGAGGCTTGTCACTGGTATTTTTCTTCCCATTCTAGGTTCGCAAGGAGAATGAATGGTGTGAGGAAAAGTAGATACATACGTGTTTTACCATTTACTGTCATGTGTTCAGGTACGATTTTTGTTCCACTTATCAAATATATGTAAGCGTTATTGTTATTACTTATCCTCGTAATGATTCTTGTGGGTTTCCTAAACGGAATCTGTTGTTTATTTCCGCTTCTAGTCGTCTAATGTTAATTGTTACTTGCATTTTTTGTTTAGGCTACTGTAGTCACCTACCGTAACTTATAGGGGATTGTAAAATGCTATTGTTTGGGAAAAGTATTGGTATGGGTAAACATACTGGTGTTACGTATTATTCTCCTTACTAATCTCTGGTTTGGAGCCCCCGTATCGCAAAATGTCGTTTGGGCATGATGAAGTTCGAGCTTGTTTGCTCCGCAATGTTAAGCTTGGTTATAAAACTGTGGAGAATGAGCGGTGGCGTGACGTACTGCTGATTAAGAAGTGACTTGGTTTTGATGGTGTTTCGTTACTTGCAAAACGTCCCTTGGTTGTGCAGAGTCGTCACTAAAAATACTTCGCTTATTTTATATAGTGAAAGCGAGTGACTTTTGGTGACTCGCCGGTTGGCTTGAGGTGGAAGTAATCTATGCGCCTTAGCATTCCAATGTAAAGCAGACATACTATTAGTTGTCTGGGACGAACCCGTACCTATAGCCAACTTAAGTCACCACTTTATCCACGCAATACTGACTACCCTTGATGCACCACGGACGGAGTTGATCATTGTGAATTTCTCACTAAAGGCCGAAAAATTAAGACTGGGATCTGTCTATTCTACACGGATTAATAATACAAGACAATACACTGTAAACGTTTGTGTTTTGCCGACTCATGCGAATGAACATTTGGCACTAGTACTAGGTAATAAACATGCAATCAAAGCCGGGGTGTCGAGATGAAGACTTTTCGCTTCTAAGGAAAATTGGTGTTCGAGGACTCGTGTTCCAATAAGCAAATAATCATATATCTCACAGAAATACAAATTTCATATTTTAAGTGGTCTTCTCCAGGTGGTTAGTTTGCAGTTTCAAAAAGAACAGTAAGATCTCATTTACCTACCTTGTATACACGGTGCATGGAATGAATATTTAGGAGTTCAACGAACCACTCTCGGATTACAAGTGGCTACGCACAATGCAGTGCCATTCCCTCAGCACATCATCTGGCGATTTGTCGTGCAAATTCAGATAAGGGTAGAGAAAACCATCCTCAGGACCTAGCTATTCTCTCCTGCCTCGATACATGCGTTCGGCGTCTTGGCTAGTCTCAGATCCATGACCTTGGAATTTGGGGGTCGGCTTCCGTAGCACGCACGACGATGAGTCACCACCGCGCCTACTATCACATGGATTTTAGGTCTGTCGAGTCATGGCGCCAGTCACGATTCCCCAGGTCAACTCCTCCGTTAAAATTCTTCTAAATACCTATGCTTACTTTCCAGAGGAAGTCTGATGTGACAACTCTGTTACACATTGATCCCCCCATCAACGGTGGTGCTACAGAATCTCATATTCAGTACAAAAACGCTGATAGTAGCCACTGTCTTAGCACTCACTCTAGAGTTTGCTTTCAACACGACGGCTTTACCCACTTGGTAGCCATTTTGTCGGCCATGTGAGCAACAGTTAGCATACGTGACGTGTGATCAACATCGTTCATGGTGAGCTCCAGTCGAAGGAAGTTCAACATGCGATTAGCCCCCGATGATGAGGGGACGTCGACAGCGTTGCTTAGACAGCTCAGTTAACCACGCCATCATGTTCTGGTTTGATCATATGAGCGGACTTCGCTACAAACCATTTTCATATCAATGCGAGTTTATTTGCTTCCTCTAATGAGCATTCACACTACATCTCAGCAAAGTTTAGTTTACCAGTTTCAATGGCGACACTGCCTTCGTGTTGTCCAATCACACCCCATTTGAGTCGAACCCACCCGTGATGTGTTAAATAGTAAGCTAAACCCACTTCCGCTAACAATCCATCACCAAATTTCAGCCGTTTCTTCCGAGAATTGAAAACTAACCAGGTTGAAAATAACTTGATGTACTTCCGAAGGAAATTACTGCATGTACCTTGCAATATTATTATTGATTCAAATCTGATACCCATTAGATGGCACGGCATTGCACAGTCGTAACGCAAGTTGTCCGTCTGGTATTTGGAGGTGTCATGAAAGGACATCGGAACCCAAAACGATGGGGGAAGCAGCACATTCTTACTGGCGAAAAAGATGCGTGAACGCAAGCGGCAGTCATGGTCGACGGTTGGTTCCATTTTACTTCAATTGCCCCTCCACCAATCACTCAACAAAAGTTGTCGATAGGGCAACCAGTATGCATATCGGGCTAATGGACAGAACTGTTCAGCAAGAGCTATCGAATGTCCAAACCTCACACACATACAAGTAACCACGTGAGTCAGAAGAGGCACAGTAACAATGACAAGATCCTAAATAATAAAAAATATAAAGCACAGCAAAAGCCAAGCCTCATCAGTCATCTTGCATTCAAGTAGGTCTCAACGGAAGTTAACTGCGTTTGAACCAAACGCGTCCAAAGGAGCAAATTCTGATAGTGATCCAAGTTCTCGCTTGATGCAGGTAAATGCATGGCCGCAC